TTACACTGAAACACTTCACCCTCCAAACCTCTAGTGGGCGACTCCTTCTGCTTTAATGGAGAGCTGACACAAAATGAGTCTGTGGCTTTGACCAGAGGGTCTCGCAGTAAAATCAAACACAACACAACTTTCTTTTCACAGAACAGAGAGCAGGTGTCTCTAAAGCTGACCAACGCTTACTTTAACTTTTGACGGGGAAAAAATAACTTTCGACAGAACACAGCGTTTTGCGCATACGTCAGAATACGGCAACACTACGGCAAGTTGGGTGTAGTTAGCTTGTAGCTTTGCTACTTAGCCCTTGAAGAAAAGACTTTAATGCCACTTGCGCACAGTTTTCCACTAAAAAAAAGTAACGATTAAACTGACCACACTGATTTTACATCAGACACAGCATTACTGCGGTTAGCCGGTAGAAGACAGATCTCTATATATATATAGTTACCGCCACCCATCACAATACATATCGTGATATGAGTTTTATGCCATATCGCACATCCCTACTACCCACCAGGATGATCATTCAGACATGAAGCTGACAAATGGCAACTGCCATCAGAACAATGAAAAGGCATGCATAACTGACAGATACTTTATCTGTACTGTGAATATGAAGTTAATTGTACCAAGCATCGTTCTATTTGAGACTGGTTCATTCAGAAATTTCATTTTTCATTAGTTTAAAACAAGTTTTTAATCTAATATTTTAAACGCTTAAATACAAACTAAATCAGTTCAATAAGAGAAGTCACAAAGAAAATATATATCTCTGGCTAGAGTTTACTATCACACAAACAGGTCAAACATCACTCTCTACACAACTATAAGCCCCAGGGGGGAATAATGTCACTTAAGCATGAAGCTTTTCCTGTTTTTGGTTTTAGGCGATGGTTCAGTTTTAAAATTCTCTTCAGGTGTTTTCTTTTGTTACGATGATGATTAGAAAATAGTAACAAGACCATGCATACATGTTATACTGATAACTTGTTTCAAACTGCTAACATATGGTGATGGGGTTTCAGCTCTGTGTCAACTGTCCCAAAAAAAAAAAAAAAAGTTGAACCTTCACGAAGTATTACTTGTGAGGAGGTGTTTGGGTGCTCACTAAAAGACCTGGGGCCTCGTGTACAAAGGATGCATATCTTTTTAACACAAAACTTAAGATGTATCAAGAAAGAAATGATCGTGGAAATGGGCGCAGCCCCACGCCAACTTCATGGCTGACACGTACACGTTTCTATGGGTATCGGTCAATTGGCAACACTTAGGTGATACTGGGAAACAGTTGATGATGTGAAAGCCATTAGTGTGCACACCAAACACGCATGATCCATGTGTATGCAATTAGAGTGGATACAAAAGCATGCACAAAGTGGTGAAGAAAATACTTTTAAACTATCAACAGCACATACATTGATATAAAAGCAACATTATATGATGAATGTTTATGTTAACAGGAAGCATTTTCATTCAACCAACTAACCAACGCTGTGGCGAGGTGGCCTGGTTCAATACACGATTCGTTTATTCTAATGAACAGCATGGTTGGGAATAGAATATATATGGCACGGTGCGGGATGGATAGTTTCTTGATGAGTAAATTAATTTAACCATTCTATGTCTGACCATTTTTTTCATAATGTCGGCAGGTGTGTGCTGCTCTAACCCCACAGTATTGATAGCTTTACACACATTGCCCCACTCACTCCTCTTGTGCTTGGCACTTATGCCAGAGGACAGCGTGCCAAACAGGATGTTTATGTACCCCCCCAGTTGAAAAAAAGCACAGTGCCCTCTTAAGGCAAGTGACTTAGGGGAAACACTGGACCAACACACATGCCAGATAAAGATTTAATTGGTTCTGATTTCACAACTTTACAATTGACATATGCATGCTAACATATGTAGCACCCATTTACTTCCTTAAACACATTGTGCATCAAATGACATCAGCTTTTCTTTTGAGCGTGTGGGTCACATCAGAACTGTAAACAGTTCACACTGGGATCTGAAGTAATTTGATGTGGGTCACATAATGTGAATCGATGCGCAAAAAATTGTATCGGAGTAACAAAATTGGAATTGAGCATCAAGACCCGCAGTGTGAATATAGGCTTGATGCCAAAACGTATGTAAAATGTATTTATCTTAGCCTGTGAATGGTGTAGACAGCAGCTTTTTTTTCTTTTTTCGGCTTCTCCTTTTCTCAGGGGTCGTCAAAGCGAACTAACTCACACAAAGACTTGGGAATTGTTTTATGCTGGATGTCCGTCATGAGGCAACCACAGACCACCAAGCTAGCACAGCCCTTTTACACACCAAACAGAAACAAGAAGGTGGGTATTAAAGGGCCTTGCTCAAGGGCCCAGAGTGTGGAAAATGAGGGTGGAGGCAGATATGGGTGCTTCACCTTTCACACCCACGTTTTGATGTCGTCGGTCCGGGGAGTCAAACCGACAACCTTCCGATCACAGCCTGACCTTCTCAAACCTCTGCGTCCCCTACCATTATCCAAGGAGGCCGCCCCGCCCTGTCAACAAAACCAAGTGCCCCACCTACCAAATCTCCACCCCCACCCTGCCACTTCTGGACGGGGAACGGAGATTAGTAGTAGCTCAACACAGCCTCCAAACCATCGCAGTACAAACACCCCACACCCCGTCGACAAAACCCCCAAAGTAACGAATGCCCTCCCACGGCAAAGAAACCTAGGAGAGACACTGAGTTTGTGACTAAAAATTCCTAAACAAGTGCAAGAAGGCATGAGTTTTTAGACCAAGCCTTGGGTGATTTTGTACATGCAACATGTTTGTGTATATTGCGCGCGCAAAGCATGTCTCACAGCAAGTTATACATATAGTTATATATAGTTTGTTATACAACTCAGTTTTGTCATGATAGTTTTGAGAATGTCATGCAATAGTGCCACGTTGCAATTTAGATCTTATATATAATGTTTTTTTTATTTGTTTGTAAACGACAACTCACCCAACCATTGCCCAAATGTTGTGCACTGCTAGGCATTATGCATAAAAATAGGGAAAAAAATGAAATAAAATCTGGACCATATACTGTAAATACAGTACATGGTACTATTCAAAAACATGTATGTTAGGCTGCCTTCAGGCCGAGGTCTCCCTTGTAAAAGAGACCTTCGATCTCATTGGGATTTGCCTGGTTAAATAAAAGGTTAATAAAAAAATTAATTCCCAGCTGGATGTTTTCTATATGTCCTGTAGCGTATGCACCAAAAATTGTTCAGAACTTTGTGGCTTTTTGGTGTTTAAGCAGAAAAAAGTGGCAGAATTAAACTGCTCTCATTTCTGCACCGCTGAGGAGCAACTGGCCGAGGTTGTTGGAAAGTAAAGTCATTACTACAACAGTTCCAACTAACCTTATAAAGATAGTCAAATAACACAGACAGTCGAAGAACCCATGGGAGGAGATTGTGCGCCGAGGAGACAGTGCAGAGACACAGGAGGCTCTCCGTGGATGTGTTGACACATTCATACAGTCCATCGAAAACAGTGGCGGGTGTTGTTACAGTTTGCGCGAGACTTGGGCTACAATGGGAGGACTTACCAGTTTCTCCGAGTATAAAATGTCCTTGCGCTACAGAACGCTTCACAACCACATGAGCGAGCGAGATCAGATATCTTACATCTTGTGAAGTGTAAACCACCCTTTACTAACAAGGATGTCCTTATGTAAACAGAGCATATGTAATGACACCCATAGGATGGTCCCAAAAAAAAGTCAATACAGACTTAAAGTATGTACTTTTATTCCATTTCCTGCTAACCCTAATGAACCTAATTACAAATACTGTTGTCTCGTTAGAAACTAGTTTTACAGCATGTTTACAATATAGAGTCCTTTCAAAGTAAAGTTTCAGAAAGATAAAAACAGCAATAAAGACTGATTCAAAAGAGCATACTGTATAAATAAGTGTATAAAACCTTAAGTTTGAAAAATATAAATGTGTGTCATGTTGCCCATGAGCCAGCAGGCCCAGTCCGGGCCAACTTTAAACATGTTCCTCTTCCGCCATGCTTTCCAGCTGTTTCCTCCATAACCATGACGCGCCTTCCAGGCACGTGCAACTCGTCAAATATCAACAAAACCTATACATATGAACTGACCCCAACCCGGGATTTATCCCTAAAACTACATAAGCTCACACTGAAAATTGCGATATTAGTAATATAATCTCGGGATTAAAGCAATTCTAGCCACTTACACATTTTTTTTAATGTTTTAATTCAAACATGTTTATTAGTTTGAAGTTTCACGACGCATTTTTTTAAGATATCTTTATAAAAACAGAGCTGAACTTGGATATAAAAGTCGCAGCTTCTCTTTCCAGCAGATGCGGCTTCAGCTCTTTAATGTACCGAAGCGTCGCGCGCTGACTTGGGTTTTTTTTTTTTTTTAACTCGTTTAAATGCACATTTTAAAGTAAGAGCACGTGGCCCGAACCGAACCTCCACTGTGGACTGGGAGTCGTGACGTTTCTCTCGGCTGAGGAGGAGGCCGGAGATAGATGGAGGTCGTCAGTGAAGGTGTCCCTGATAACCAACTAGTTAGTCGTCCTCGACGGACTTTCGTTTTCATTTCAAATAAAACTAAACTAGTCCGACTTGTCCCTTTTATGACGGCCATTACTCACCGAGCTGGTTCTGGCCGAGTCCAGTTGGTCGCTGTCAGTTCAGGACCACCGAAACCGCGCGTCTTTTTTAATTATTTTACTCAAAAACTCCGAAAGTACGACACACTTTTTATTTTTTAACTTGTTTCTGCCATTTTGAAGTGAACCCCTTGAAGTTTGGCCACTCAGCCGCCGGGGACGGTCTCTGCTCAAAGCGGTGTCATCAGCTGAGTCGACCCTCCTCACTATATCCGAGTGTCCGAAATATGACAGGACCATTTCTGAATGAAGCAAAACCCTTCGCGTTCGGAATAAATACACCAAAACAAACGATGAGAGAGTTATTTCTTACCTGAAACTAACCACGAAGCCCGACTCGGGTGGTGAATGTAGACGGGGTGTTATCGGCGAAGTTGTAGCCGTGTTGTTAGTCGCTCTCCTGCTGGCCACAGCCGCTCTGCTGCTGCTGACGTGACTCTGATAACGACGTATTTGCATATTAGTGACTCCCTCTGTGATTGGACAAGCGACCATTTGCCGAAGTTTCGCGAATTCGGGTAAAATTAAAAAGTCGCTCCGCCCTCGCGAGCACTTCAGGAACCGCGGCGCCCCGACTAACCCGGGAGAGCGGCTGATTCAATCACGATATCAGCTGGAAAGTGGTCGTGTTGACAGAGTGCATAAGATGGCCGCGTCCGAGCCGCAGCCAATCCGGAGAGGTTTTACTTTTCGCACATGGACCGGAGTCTCTCCTTCATGCGAACGTGACATGAGTGGGAGCGGCGGCTGCACCGTGGGGACACAGCGACCTCTGGTGGCTGGCCGCTGGCGCGACATCCCGTCCGCCATTACATAGCAAGTGCGTTTACGGGTTGAGCTTCGAGGACTCATCTACAAGAGAGACCTGTTTTAAACAAAGAGCACAAATGACAGCTGATACTCATAAAAAAGTCATATAAAATGGAAAGTAAATGGAAGAAATTATATATAAAAAAAAACGAAACTAAAACAGCTACATTATAAAGCAATGTAAAATACTAAAAACAGGAACTTGTCTGCGTTGGTTTTTGTCGTGAACTTAGCAGTTTAAAGTTACTTAAGAGAGGTCAAGAGCTTCAGGTCTTTTTGCAAGGTGTTCCAGGATACAGGAGTGGAGTTTGCCTGTTCGGTCTGCACTGAGGGTATACTGCATGTAATTATGTCCTGAGAGTGCACGCTGTAGCTGCACTCATAGAGTAACATATAGGAGGAGATACTTTATTTATTTACCCGTTATTTACACAGGTAGTTTCACTGAGTCACGAGAACTCGTTTTCAAGAGAGAGACCTGTTTTGGAGCAGATGATGGGAGTTAAGGGCCTTGCTGAGTGGGGAGTGGTGGCACAGAGGTTAGAAGATGGGCCTATGTGATCGGAAAGTCGCAGGTTCATCTCCCGGTACCGTCAACATCAAAATGTGGGTGGAAAAGGTGGAACACCTCCCTCCACCCTCATTCACCCCACTCTGGGTCCCCAAGCAAGGCCCTTAACCTCTGCACCACCACCCCACACAATATATGAAGGCAACAGACCAAGAGGTGATTTAAAGATGAAAATGTACCAGTGAGAGAGTCTGCGTGAAGTTAATGATGACCAGTTAACCAGTGAATACAGGGTGCATTGGTGGGCACAGTAGTTACAGCTAGTTATGAATCTCAGTGCACCGTGATAGACAGCGTCCAACATCTGCAAGGTGCTTGCAGAAGCGTTCATGTAAATAATGTCACCGTGGAGGAGAAGAATGCAGCAGTTACAAGGTGTTTCCTAGCATTCAGAGTTGGACTGGATCCATTTCTGAAAAAGAAACCCAGTTTAACTTTCAGTTTCTATAGAGTTTTTGACATGGGACTTAAGAGAGATGTGAGTCGACCAAGATACCCAAGTGTTTGTAAGAATCGACAAACTCAATAGGAACACCATTTGTACATAAAATAGAAGGAAGGACTGCTGGAACAGACTTCCTGTTTGAAAACATCCCTTTGGTTTCATCAGCATTTAGCACCAGTTTGAGATGGAACAAATCTGACTGAACCATGTTGAATGAAGACTGTAAACGCTGGAAAACCTTATCAACTGTTTCAGCTCGACAATAAACAGCTGCCGTCAGCATAGAAATGTAAAGATGCATCAGGAAAGATCTGACCTACATTACTTATGTAGATTGAATTCCAAGAAACTGGCTTTAACACATGCAGGAAGGACCGCCCGTCCCAAACAATTGATCATGAGCATCAAGTTGGTAGTCTGGCCTAAAACATTTGATTGTTGTGCATGATGATGGATTGTTAAAACGGGTCTGATTGGCAGGCCCAAATCTTTCGGATGAAAGACGAAACGTTTCTTCCAAAAAAGAAACGTGTCCAGATGTCATGATGTAACCGTTTTTGTGTTTACCTGGATGATTGAGCTTGCAAAGCTCGTTTTGATGTTCGTAACAATATTTTACTTTTTTAAATATATTTTAGGTATATCTCTCCATTCCTTACTCCCCTGATATTCTGACTTTTACAGCAGTAATAGGTATGTTTTTTTTAATGGGAGTCCTTCAAAAAACAGAAACAAAACAGAAAGACCTCCCCTACGAGGGATGCAGGCATCAGTACAACTGTGTATTTTTTGCTATGACAAATAAAAATCAGGTTTCTTATATACAAGTCTTTGATGTTATGGTCTTTTGGATTGATCATTTTAGGTACCCATTTACAAGACAGCGGTGAGACCAGCTATGTTGTATGGTCTGGAGAGTGTCATTGACAAAAAGACAGGAAAAAGAACTGGAAGAGGTGGAAATGAAGATGTTGAGATTCTCCTTAGGAGTGACAAGAAGGATGGATAAGATTAGTAATGTGATCATCAGAGGTACAGCACAGGTTGAACAACTGGGAGATAAAAGTTAGAGGCCAGACTGAGATGGTTTGGACATGTCCAGAGGAGGGACAGTGGGTATACTGGTAGAAGAATGTAAGAAATGCAGCTGCCAGGAAAACGACAAAGAGGAGATAAATGGATGCAGTTAGAGAGGACATGGAGGTAGATGGAGTGAGGACAGAGTGAGATGGAGGAGGATGACTTGCTGTGGTGACCCCTGAAGAGGGAAAAGCAAAAAGAAGAATATTAGGTACACTTTACAAGGGCATGTAAACAAGACCCCCCCCCCCCCCCCCCCCCCCACCACCGAGGGGGAAAAAAAAAAGTTAAAAAAATTATGAATAGAAGTCATTAGACTTTTTATTTCTACCAAAAAACTACTAAAATGACTAAATAATTCAACAATTGTTGACACCCTAGACCTTTAGGATCAATAAGTCCAGCTGTTTTGATGCATTTGTATTTATACTTAGGGTTGTTGGGGGAAATATGCAGAGAAAAGTACTTTTACATCAAGTGCACCCCCACCTATCAAAATTGCATAATACATCAGGAAAACGTTACCTGCATCATCTGACATAAAGTTAACCATTTTTATGTAGTTTGAAACATGCATGCGTTTTATTTTTTAAAACATACAGTTGATTACCAAAATCCACACAAAGACTGACTTTAAAGTATTTTATTGGTTTCAGAGCAAAAATTTATTTCCCTCGTCATTTATTTATCAGAGAAGGGACATTAACATACACCACCTCCCCCCCCCCCCAAAAAAAAAGAAAAAGAAATCACTCATTTAAAGATGCCAGCCCAGTGACTGTGTGTGGAGTACATTAGAATTAGTCACTGCCTTTCTCAGGAGGTATATGTAGGTCTAACAAGTTTGAGCACCTTATAGGCTTTGCCAACATGGTCATGACCCATGAGGTACACACAGCACAGTCCTTCAACAGTTCCTTAAAAGCAACATTTTAAATCAAACCCGATTCATCATTAGAACGCAAAATCCAGTACATCAACTGTAAAATTTGCAGTTTGATAACGTGTCCATTAAAATGTTGCACTCTTCAGTGCTGGAGGACTAAACCTTATCAAAATAAAAGTATTATTACTCTCAAACTAAAAAGGTAGAAACCCTGCAGTATGGTCTGTGACTTTGGAGCATATCTTACCTAAAAATATATTAGGAAAAGCAAGAGTGGGTAAACTTTAGAACAGCATCCATTATTTACACAATAAATCTTTAAGACCCCACAAAAAAAGGAGGAAGAAAAATACATAAAGCATTTAAAATGATTTAAAATCCAACTAAATTAAATGTGAGCAAACTGTTGTAGCATCGGATTTAAAACCAATGCCTGCTTCCTGTCCTGCTTTAAACATTTATATATTAAAAAGCTACAAAAAAAAACAGTTTACTCAGTAAAGACAAAAAGCAACAACTGTTCAATAAAAAATAAAAATAAAACATATGATCTCAGAGTGTACTGGGGGCAGGTGGGATTAGGTTTCATTCAGAGCTGTAGTTGACGACATTCCCAGTCTGACAAACAGTCCTAAGCCAGTTCAAGCAAGTGGTATTCACCATGCAGTCCACCACAAATGCCATACCACATGGACAAAAAGTGCTTCACTTCCACCTCTTTTTGGGACTTAACCTTACTGCCTAACCAAATGTGCAAGGACTGAGAAAAATGGAAAAGCGCTGATTGCATCACAGCCTAAATGAGCCGAGACATCCACTTGTCATTGTCAATTTACAGATGGTAAAAAACTAGTTTTCCTTAATCTAGAACTTTGTCGGGTGATGCCAAGGTAGCTTTTAAAGCTGAAAAATAAAGTGGAGAACAAAGTACTCCGAACTGTTTCAAGGTTTCCACTTCATATAAATTATTCGAGGCGTGCCAGCAGCTTTGAATGTTTGCGTCGCCCTCTAGTGGCCACAGTGCAGATTCAACTCTGGGGAGGACTGTCCTCTTTGCTGAAGGGCTGGGTAGAACCAGGCTTCACCCAAGATAACCCCGACACCTGCATTCCCTTGTGGTGCTCGTCTGGTCGTCTCTAACGTGAAAAAAAAAAAGGAGAAAATGTTGCGTTGTTATGTAACACCCAAACCAATGATAAGCTCAAGGCTGTCCAAGCTTAACAAAAGGAAGAGAACTGCACCATTCTGCCTAAACACAGAACAGATGTTCAACTTACTTTGTGAATGAACATCTTCTCCTTTGCTTCGTCATGAACTGCTGGGTTCCATGGAGAAAAACTAAAACCAAACGAACGAGTGAAAGGAGGCATGGACCTTTGCTTCCCCTTTAATTTCTTTGTCTTAACGTACACACATAACATTTCAGAATGTGTTTTTGTGTATTGTTGAGCACTGAAATGTCACAAATGGCAACTGTTGACTAACCTTATTGCGTACGGATCGTCGATCTTGGGCTGGTCAAAAAGATGACTGTTGCATAGTTTGACGCTGTCCACCACTTTGCTTTTGAACAGCTGCACGTCTTTCTCATACCTGAGAGGGTAAAAATATATATATTTGTTTTATTTCAAAGCAATGACACGCAGAAGAGGCTGACCTTTTTCTTAATTAAAGCCCGTCCATCTGCATATTGAGTTAAAAATAGACTTTCATCATTGCAGTACTGTGGACTTGTAGTAAGTCATCACTCAGCCAGTTAGTAGAGCACAGACTCGTCACAAAGTCCGATTTACATTTATGTTATCGAGCAGAAAGACAAAAAATAATCTGATCATAAAAACATTCTGAGATAAGCTGCTGTGTGCTCGAGTCTCGGCATCTTACAGCACAGCAGCTTCTGGGTTGAGGGGCTCCGTCGTGTTGATCTTGTAAAAAATGGTACGTGCGTACATCAGGACTTGCCAGATGTGGTTGTGATTCCGCCTACAAAGACAAAAAGGTTTGATATTTTTCTACAGAAAATCTGAATGACAATTATCAAATATTCAACTAACGTCACCAAAAGTTTAACATTTTACTAACACTTCTTCACACGATTACATTCATGCGAGATAAATGCTCCACCTGTGTCGTTTCAGTCCTTCAGAGCACGAGGATCTGACTCGTACAGTCAGAAGTGCAACAGTAAGAACAACGATCGACTGGCGGCTGTGGCTTTTTGCTTTATCAAAGACACAAACTGTAGGTCAGGAAATGCATCTATTCTTATTTAGAAAAATGACAGCACAATTTAGAGCTTTTGGCCAAACAGAACGAACCGTTTGAAAGTTTTTTGTCCATGTCCACTTTTATAGAACAATGTGCATTAAATCCAAAATAGTTCATTCTGGTCCTCTGGACATTCAAAAAAACAAAAAACAAAACAAAGCAAAAAAAAAAAAAAAAAAATTTTTTTTTGTTGATATTTTGGATTTTTCTACCTGGATTATTGAGCATGCATCAGGATAATGTGCACTAAACACTTTTCCAACCATAGCCAGTATTAAATCACTAGGATAGTTTGTTCATATGTTTTTTACAATAAATAAAATTAATTCACTTCATTTTAAAATGTAATATTGACACATGAATGGGATTCATTTAGTTTAAGTTTAAATGAATTAGCATCAACAGCAAGAGAATTTTTAGATTTTAATTCAGAATGTGTTGTGGATCGTGGTCGGGCACAGCCACACTAAATTTCAGCTCAATATCTTTTAAAATAGCCAAGCTGTCATATTTTTCCCACATTTAGCCAAGGCGGCCATCTTGGATATGACCTGCACTAGGTTGTTGCCCTTCAGGCAGTTCCCAACAACTCACTCTCAGCTATGACCATACCAAATGTCACCTCAATAACTCAAAGAATGACCAAGTTACAGTCAGTTTTGTGTTTTCTGGGGTAGCTGTGGCAGCCATCTTGAATCAAAGTGGCTCCAAAAGTTTTTTGTTTTTTTGGTTAATCAGTCGGCAGCACGGTGGCGCAACTGGTAGAGCTGCTGCCTCTCAGCGAGCAGGTCCTTGGTTCAAACCCCGGTCCAGGGGCCTTTCTGGGTGGAGTTTGCATGTTCTCTCCGTGCATGCGTGGGTTTTCTCCGGGTGCTCCGGTTTCCTCCCACAGACCAAAAACATGCATGTTAGACTGATTGGTAACTCTAAATTGTCCCTAGGTGTGAGTGAGAGAGTGAATGGTTGTTTGTCTCGTTTGTCTCCATGTGGCCCTGTGATGGACCTGCGACCCGTCCAGGGTGTACCCCGCCCCTCGCACAGTGATTGCTGGACATGGGCACCGGCGACCCCTGACCCAAAATGGAATAAACGGGTAAAGAAAATGGATGGATGGATGGATGGATGGATGGTTAATCAGTGTTTGTTCAGAAACCTCTGCTCTCTAGGCCATGTGACCTCACTGTGGGAGTTAGAGGCTGTTCTGTCAGTGTGTTTCAATGAGAAAAATGGCATCATTGTTAATAAATTACATCGCCATGGTAACTCAAAATGCCACGAAAAGTAATAGCACACGTCACGGTGCTGAGCTGATCGTTTTGATATAAAATTTATGGGGGTGTGCATTGCAGTTTGGGCCACGTTGAAGTTGAAGGAAGAGCAAGATCCTTTTCAGGTGGATAATAAGAAATGTCTGCCTTTCTAGGCACTCCCCAATAAGTCCAGCAAATCAAAAGTAAACAACGGCAGGACATGAGATTTCTCCAAAAGTTAAACAGTAACTTGCTTGTTGCTTAAAAAACAAAAACCTTCATGTTTAGATGGTTTCATAGAATAACCACCAAAATTAATGATAAAGAGAAATAATTTTGTGAAAAGTTAAGTTGTTTGCATTCCTGAGGAAAAACTACTCGCCTCCATTTGGTGAAAGCTCTTTTGACGTCAAGCTCTCCAGACACGGGGTCAACCAGAGGATGGAAGACTGGGATGTCAAATACCAGTTTCTGAAATGAATCATGTGGAACAAGTATGACAATTTATCTCAGCTTCCTATTGAAGTATCTCAAATATTAGATTGAAAAACTTTTGATCAGTCCTTAAAGAATACTTATTACCGTATTTTTCGGACTATAAGGCGCTCTTAAAATCCTTTAATTTTCTCAAAAATCGACAGAGAACGTTATAATCTTATGTTTTAATTCTGGTTGTGCTTACTGACCTCGAAGCGATTTGATGTGGTACAACTGAACAATGTTGAGAGTTGTGAATGAGTTGAATAAAGTTTGACTTATCGGACCGTTTTGCTTCACTTAATGCGCCTTATAATCCAGTGTGCCTTATGTATGAATATAATCCAGTGTGCCTTATGTATGAAAACAGACCCGTTCATTGATGGTGCGCCCTATAGTCCAAAAAATACGGTACTTTGAAGAGTGTCACTTGTTTTATAATAGTCACCTGTATAGGCTTGACGAACTTTATATTCCTACATGATATTTATTGTCAAACATTTACAGAATCAGAACAAAAACCAAGAATAAATAAATAAAAATAAAAAAAACTCACGGGACATTCCCCATCTGGGTAGTTGTCTGGAATATATACGGTGAATTTGAAGACGCCATCTTGGTACAAGCCATGCCTGATGAAAATGACTCCAAACCACACTAAACAGAGGGAGGTACAGTATATGGCATTACACAACTTTTACTTCTAGAGTGAATATTACTGAACAAAGCAGATAAAAGCAGAGCAGGTTGTGTAGACTGAACATTTGAAATAAAATTTAAAAAGTCAGGGATTTTTAAATTATTGACACAGGCTGTTCATTATCAACCTGATAAAAGTGAAATAGGCAGCAAACTTTCAACAAACAAAACTCATTTTTGTAGTGTGTGACACTGATGATTAAAAAAAAAAGCAATATTTATAAAACAAAATGTAACAAGACTCAAAAAATGAGGTTCTTACTTAGTGCTGACTTGTATGATGGCTGGACATAAATTCCAGGGAGTTTCTGCTTAATCACTAGTGTGCTGCACGTCACATGACAAGGAGAAATGCAAAGACACCCGAGATCATTTCTTTACTATGCAAGAAAATATTCTAAATCTAATACAGACTTTGCCTACATTATTAATTATAAATTAAAAGTTACAATGTATAGTGGAGCAAGTGTCAATCAGGACATAAAAATGTAAAAATAAATGTAGTGAAAATTAAAAGTCAAACACCAAATACTTACAACTCAGCCAGCAGAGAGTACTCCAGGTAAAAAGGGCCATAGGAGGCATGTAAGCCATTGGCTGAGTGGGCTGGAGTGCTCAACAATGCTGGTTTGCTTGCAGGGACTGCATTTTTAGGAATTGGCGGAAGGTGCTTTTTGTGAGTGGTCCGGGCTGGGCTGGCTCTCTGGTCTGCATGCCCGCTCTGCTCCTCATCAGATCTCTGTCAGTTTTACAAAGAAAACAAGGGTCACAGAACAAACTGGTAAAAAAATATTTGCCATTTTGATACAATTTTTATTTATTTATTTATTATATTCAGTTTAGAGAGGGCTAAATGACTTGAGAGTTGACGAATGGCACAGGGTTGGAGCCATGAGCTGGGACCAACCCATCAGGTTACACTGCCTGTCTAGTTGGAGGCTAATCAAAAAGTCCAGTCTAGACACCACCAGGGACAGTTTCACTGCATCTTCCAGATGGTCCTGAGAACAGTGGTTACATGTCACTGTACATATGGAGAACTAAGCCTCGGGAAGATAAGATGTACCAGAAAACAACAGCAAAATACTGTTGAACCTAAACAAAAAGTACACCAGAAATGTTGGCAATGAACAACACACAGTTGAAACAAATGTTTCAAACAGAACATATGACTAGAAAAATTTAAAATGCAAAGCTTGCTTAAAAGGCACATGTTCCAAGGGCAAACAAGGACATTTTCCTTTTGGGTTAATTAAATTTTCCTCATATCTGCTCAGATGTTATGCAAAAACATTTGCACCCTGCTACTAGTGCAAATAAACTTTCGGGCATTTCTTTCATTAAAAGAGTGAATCCATTTTACTAAAATTCATCTTTAAAGTATCTTTGTACTTTGGTGTCACACAGTATGATTTTAGAATTTAGTAAGTGAAACAAAAATAACTTCTTGCATGGGAGACAAACCCAAATGTCTTGCATGCAAACCTTTTTTATAGCCTAGTGAGCGAACAGCAGCATGTTGCATGCTGCCATCTGGGTCACACCCAAATTTTTCAAATTGTTTAGAACTGTAAAATGACAAATGGGGCTGTTGTAGCCGAGTGGTTAAGAAAGTCATCCTCCAATGCAAGAGTTGGGGGTTCGATTCCACCAGCAGTCACATGCCGAAGTGTCCCTGGGCAAGACACCGAACCCCTCTTTGCCTCCGATGTGTGTCCCATTGGTGTATGAATGTAATAAAGCACTGATTACTATTTGTATAGACATAGTAGAGTGCTGTATGAATGGGTAAATGAGGACATAGATTGTAGTGTAAAGAGCTTTGAGTATCTTGATAAGATAAAAAAAGTGCTACATAAGTGCAGTCCATTAACCATTTACAAATAGAATGAGCTCACAGGTCAAATTAGGCCAGGGGGCTGTCAGTTAATAATCATTACCTTAAACATGTTTTAACAGCTGCAGTTTTACTACATTGATCATAAGTTTAATATATGTGGGTACTAGTGCATGATTTTATCCATTCATTCATTCATTATCTGCTGCTGGTTCCAGAGTCAGGCCATGAGGACAGCAGCTTGAGCAGGGAGGCCCCAGACATCTCTTTCCACAGCTGCTTCTTCTAGCTCTGCTGGGAGGATTCCAAGGCCAGTCAAGAGACAGTCTCTACAACGTGTCCTGGATTTTCCCTGAGGTCTCCCCCACTTGGACATGCTCAGAACACCTCCTTAGGGAGGCATCCAGGGGGCATTCTTAGCAGATGCTCCAACCACTTTTAACTGGTTCAATGACAACTGGCAGCCCTGGAGGAATCTGACTCTCACCCTGAAGGGCTCGGACTTGCCATCAATACAAACCAGACTTCTGCACAGTTTGTATATGGACTGAATGGCACTTAGCAACAGAAACCACTCATGGAGCGGCCATGACAGCGTACTTCAGAGAACATGGGCAAACCAATAGAACCTGCATTGTTCCTCCTTAATCTGAAGTTCAGCCATTGACAAGACTCCTCCAGGAGCCCTAAAAACACCTTACGAACTGAGGTTGAGGAGTGCAGTTCACACTGGTCCCACCTTTTGAAAATGAGAACCATCACGCCAGCCAGTCTACCCCCAATGTTTATGTAATGTTGCAAAGGCATGTCAACCAAGTCAGCCCAGGATCATCCAGAGCCTTGAGGGACTTGGAGCAAATCTCAACTAGACCCAGAGCCCTGCCACTGCAAAGCTTTTTAACTGCATCAGGGACCCTCAGCCCCAGTTATGGAGAGACATGGTTATGGTGCATGATTGAAATAGGATTATCAGCCAGGTTGAAAATAACATAAAATAATCCAGTATTAAGCAAGGTAAAAAATGGTTTATTTCCTAAATATTAAATGATAACAAAAAAATAAAACTAATGAGTATGCACACATTAATTAAAGGGCTCAAGACATTCATGCAGGGTGGCACGTTGGCTCAGCTGGAAGAGCTAATGCCTCTCAGAAAAAAGGTTTTGGTTTCTTCCCACTGTGAGACTGACTGGTAACTCTAAATTATCCCTAGGTGTGAGTGAGAGTGTGACTGGTTGTCTCATGTGTCTCTACGTGTCCCTGTAATGGACGTGCGACCTGTCCAGGGTATACTCCGTCTCTCGCACAGTGACTGCTGGATATGGGCACCAGTGACCCCCGCGACCCGAAAAGGGAAAAGCAGGTAAAGATAATGGATGGATGGACATTCATGCAATGTTCAAACCATTTGAGGATACATCTCATACATTTTAGCTGTTTTAGTCAATAAGTTTCTTCTTACACTAAATAAATGTGATGCAAATAGACCTAAAAAAAAATCATAATTTTACCAATGAGATATTACTAGCAAGAGCCACCACAAATATGGCAAAGCCAGGGTTAGAGAGCTGTCACACAGAGCCACAAGTATGATAGACGACAAGATGTTTAGTACAATGACTGAGGAACAAGACTATTTGATCATACAGTTAAAATGCCCCTCAAAACAGAGTTTTTTTGGTTTTGAAAAAAAATTGGTAAAACAAAATATTGAGATATGTGAATGTTGATTGAAAGTTGATTGAAATGTTTAGATTAGGTTAGAGGTCTTTTTGCATTTATTATAGGTTTTTGTATTTATTGTATTTTTGTGTATCTGTACTGTATTGTGTTTGCACGTTATGTTCTGTGTTGCACCGTGATCCTGGAGGAACGCTGTTCAGTTTCAGTATGTACATGTACGTAGACGAAATGACAAAACTCTGATAAGCATAAGTAAAAATTGATTTCCTGTGTAGATACATTGTTGTTCGTTCTGAGCATCATAATCATTTTGGTAACCAGGTGATTCATAGTTTGGTTATTAATAGTACTTCAGCATCATACATTGTATATGGGAATACTTTGTTCATCCATGGTATATTTCATAGACATTAAACAATAAAAACTGTACAGCTGTTTAACTGTAAAAAGCTCACGACTGCAGCAAATTTCAGGAAAAAAAAAGATTTGTAGAAAATGACTGATTGTACAAGAGTGTTTTCAATATTTGTTAATAAGAAGTATTAACCGGGTGCTTGTTAATTTACCTGTAAGTGAACAGAAAAATCGGTTTCATTTTACCTTACGGCTCGTGTTGGCAGACATGCTCCAGAAGGGGTTCAGGTTCATTCCTCATTCATTGGGTCAGATTGGTGTCCCTTTTGCAGGTCTCACACTGTGAAAACAGGTCCATCCACTGCTGATGTACAGAGGATGGCCATTGTTATGGTCACAAAAACAAGTGGCTCACAAGCTAAGAAACTAATACTTTTTTTTTTTACCTCGAGAAAAGATTTGTCAAACAACATGACACTAATGCATATTTATTAGAGGTTGGTAGAATACAAATAAAAATAGTTTACACCTGAAGCAGCTTAGTAGCCTCATGCTAACTTAGCTGCTTTATGAAGTAGACCAACACTGTATCGACTCAGACAGGCAGGCAGTTCAAAAGCGTCGATTAGATGTTGTAGACGGTAACAAGGTAAATACACAACAAGAAAACAACAGGGATACAATTTGTCACTGGACAGCCTCAGTCCGGGCTACGTTAGCGAAAGCTACCTACGTTTGGCCACAAAATCTAATATAATTCTACCCGACACCTAAAGTTATGATTAAATATATAGTCGACGGATCAGGGTTTAGGAGTTAAAGTCCAAACTACCAATTCCAGAAAGAATGTTTTCTTCAGCACTTTACGTTGGCGTACAAGCTTGATGTTGCTAACTTGGTCCTTTAACTTTAGCTCCTGAACGTAAGAACGCTTAGCGACGTAACTCACCAATTTTAGTTGGGATTGTTTAGTTGGTCTTTTTGATACAGATGTTTACCTGTTACTCGCTCAATTTTTATTGATAATTAAAAAAATAAATAAATAAACTTGCCACGACTAGGTGTAGGTGTCACGAAAGCTAGCTGACTAATGTTGGGTTAATAATTTGACAGAAAAGACAGAGTTCAATCTAACTAACAAGGAGGCGTTTCTTACCGGACAATTCTTGATTCTCATTGGTTAAAAAGAATAAACGTTCTCACAGTTGATTTGTTAACGCCCCTGTCACTTCAAAAACAAGTGTTCTCTTAAAGAGACAGTACCTGTGAGAAAAGACTACGGGTTGTTGTCAATCGATGAGGTTTTACGGAATTACCACTTGAACTGTTCATTGCCAGTTGGCGGGATTATTTCTTAAATTAAAGTGCCAAATTATTGGTTACTGAAAGTAACTTTAATTTTGTTTTGAAGAAATCAAAATTAGTTCTTATTTAATTTAACTTATTTAATGTTACCCCTAAAAATCTAGATGTCTGTGAACAAACCTGCATGATTTATAAACTGTGCAAATGTTATATCTAATCATGTTTTATTAAAAAAAAAAAAATCTCACGTTGAATCATTTAGATAATAAGGTTACTTGTTGTCCTATTTTTAAGTTAAGTGAAATTTGTTAATGGTTTAACTAAATAAATAAAAAAAACTCATTGAGTTTAGAGAGGAAAATGATAACTTCTTTGTGAAAAAGCTATTGGGATTAAAAAAGACTAGAACAAAAACAAAAATGTGCACTTCTCTGTTGTCTTTTCAGTATCATCAAACAGTCCCCCGAGGTTAAGATGCATCCATGCCATTTGTGTCATTTATTTATTTATTTTGTAGTTTTGACCACGCTTCGCTGGTGGTTCATTTTGTTGATTGATTGATTCCTGACAATTACTTCTAATTAGTTTTTGGGTGAAAGGCAAAAAACTAATTTAATGCATGGATGATTGCACTAATTGGAAGAAATGACATTGTCCAAGTTTCTGAGTAAATACAAATTATTGGCTCAATTATTGTTACCAGATTGTATATTGTCCCAAGTACACTTCAGTGACAAAACTAATTAGTGTCTCGCGCCTTTATTGGGGCAACGGACAATGAAAGGTCACCATTACTTTTTTATTTTGACATGTACAAATCCAAGACAAAGTTTCTGCCTCCTTTTCCTTCATCAACATTGAGATGAACTGTCTGACCTGAACAAGTGTGTCAGTATCCACACCAGTGCTTCTGTAATTAGTTTTTTTCCCTTTGCTATTGATTCTTTATCTAATGAATTATTGTGACCTTGTTTGGTCAAACAAATACTGTGATGAATGTAATTAAAGTGTGAAGATTGGATTGTCTAATTGAATATGTGACCTGTTTGAGCTGGATTTGCTTTTATGCTGGAAAACTGAAGTGTTGGCTACTTTGAAACAAGCATTTTTCTATTTTTTAACATCAAAATAACACATTGACCTAGCCTTCATCTTTGTTTAGTAAAACAAAATCTCTCTGAAGAAATAAGTACTGTTACTGTGAGTGCTAAGACATATTTCAAGCTGGGAATAATATTACCTTTCATTCACTTTTCAGCGGCAGCTGATAATGTCTGTCCGAGTACACATATATTTCTGTGGCTGTCTGTCTTTTATGAAACTTGCAGAAAGTCATGATGTACATCTACGTTTAATTGGGTTTTAAAGTCAACCCAAGATTCAAGATGACTGCCACAGCCAACTAACAATAAAAACACAATTGATCAAATGTTTGCTGTGTTAGACATTAAAACTGATAACACAAATTTGGAGTGCTAACAAATTGTACAATCTCCATGTTTAATATTTTGCCAAATAATTATTTGCAGTCAACCCTGTTTGTCTGTCAGCAAAATATCTCATGAACAGAAAATTATATAAAACAACTAGAGTATGCAATGGTCACATGACCTTGCGATTCACTGCAACAATGGCGGCCATTACCAAAACAGGCAAACATCTGCACTTGGTGTTTCCGTAGATATTGGCAAAGTAGCTCTGAGTAAGATCTAACTATTTTTAAAAAATCTAATAATAATAATAAAATGTATGTAATATAATAATTGTATACTATTAGAATGTATATAATCTATAGAATATAAATAAAAATGTAAACAAAACAGGAAGGTGTGTGTATGTACTGCATGTTGCAACAGAAGAGACAATGGAAAACACGTCTCTGTTCATAAGTAAGCAGATTTTATTGTATTTACCTCAATGTGAACATGATTTTACCAGAATTGAAGCTAGTAATGAAACATTTAAAAAGTAAAATCCAGTGTAATCACTGTTCATATTTAATTGGCAAGTTGACTTCTGTGGTATACATTGCTGTACAAATCTAGCGGTATGCTGTACAGTCTGAGTCATGCTATAGTTTAGTACAAACTATTAAACAGTACAAGCTGATATTGCCTCAGGTTGTTGTAATTTTTACACACTGTAAAATAATGTTATGTATTTGACCCTCTTTTAAGTTTGCATTAATCAAACCAGACGTGTTGAGATAATGGATAGCAAGTATTAATAGAGACAAGTTTCATCCTACAAAGCATCACAGGGTATGCAGTGAACACTTTCTAAGCGACAATTATATGAGCGGTGAAAACTAATATTAAATATATGTTATTATGTAAACCCCTTTTATGCAATACCCGAGTTGTGCACTAAATAAGTTTTTCTTTCAGCAACCTTTATGAGACCACACTACTATATCGAAATACGCTGGTGTTTTTATTCTATATACATGCCGAAGTATTCTATTATACTTACAGATATTAAGATACCTCAGTCGTAATTATCTGACAATGTGGCATTAAAAAATGAAAAGCCTGCATATGGTCTGATTATGCAGTAGAAGTATGTAATTTCATATTTGTCCTCTTTTCAGGCATTCGAGAGACGAACAAGTTATGCCTGAAGTGAAGGACAGTGCAGCTCCCACAGTATTTCCTGCACATCCTCAAAGGAAGCAGCCCATGTTTAAGAAACAGGACAGGGATCTGCTCAGAAATGGACCCCCCCCCCCCCAAAAAAAAAAAAAAAAAAAAAAAAAAACAACAAGAATGGCGAAATCAGGCCCATCAAATTCTGAATTCATTGTGAATTCCTTGCTGCACAGCAACGGGAGAGTCTTCACTGAAAGCTTTGTGAACAGGAACAGTACATCACAGACACATCACAAACTCACAGAAACGATCCTGCTCCTACACCAGTGATGTCGTACAATGAGCATTTGAAATGCATACGTCTGTAATTTTCTTCATGCTTTACATATTTGAATTCTGTCAGATGATCTAGGACACAGGTCTGCAAACTTTGCAATAAAAAGATCCATTTTTGTCACTTCATTTACTAATTATGATGTCCAGAGCCACAAAACCTGCTACGACTGTGTAATGTCAACTGGTGGCCCGTGGACCATTACAAGTCTGTTCGAGATGTTTTTTTCAGCCAGTGGGGGTGATACTATAAAACGAAAAATGTCTAACTATATATATATATATATATATATTATTATTTTTTTTTTTACAATTTTATAAAAATTAAAACACTGAGCGCTGCAGGCCAATGTGAGCACGCCAGTGCAAAAGGGAAACTTTAAACTTTATTGTGTGACTGTTCATCTCTGAAAGATTTATACATTGTGGCTTCAGCAGAAATTTCCCCCTCTCACCTGCAGCTGGTGCCAGAATTCAAATTTAAGATGAAATATGGTTCCTTCTGTCAGCGCATTCCTTTAGAGAATTTCAGAGCTGCTGATTCAGATCTACAATTTGGTTTAAATGACAGTTTAATATTACAATTGGCAGTCTCGGGTGAAATCTGTCTTGACAGCATATAGATAAAAACCGGTGAAAACAGATGACTGCACATCCAAATACTGTGTAATAACAATGTTAGTTTGGATAAGGTAAGCCAAATCTAGATTTAAATGCAATATTCATTTTAGATATATAAACGACTTGGGAGAAAAGGTTACAAAAAAAAACCATCAGGGAAAACCTTCATATAGCAATAGTCTTTTCTCATCCCTGAGGCTAAGTCCTAGCTAAAACCTAATGTACAGCAATTATTTGCTGTAATGACTGCAGTTCAAATAAGCCCGGAGATTTTATTAAACCAAATGAGAGAATCATTGATGTATTATCACCTTGTGATTGACAGTGACAAGTGTTGGGCAGGCTCGGCTGTGAGCATGATGAAGAAGCTCTCGGCAAAGCTCTTGATAATGTTACCCCTGATAAAGTTGCCTGGAACACCTCAGCCAACATAAGGAAAGAGAAAGCTCTTCGCATATTAATTCAAACTGTCAGATCCCTCCAGTGGAGGAAGAGAAGAAGGAGGAGGATGAGGAGGCGTGGGGTACCTAGTCTGGCAGGCAGCCCCGACTGCCCCTCCATTCACTGACTGGGATTTTACACCACTAATGAAAAAGAAATCCATTGTGCTGATCATATGCATAGATTTCTCCTTATAATAATGATGAAACGAAAAGATTCGTAATAAAAGTAAAGGTCACTCGCTGCTGCAGCTAAGCTTTCTAAGCTGCAACCTTTGCGAGAGCAGTTGTCAGGTTCTAGTGATGAAATCAAAAGTAGGAAGAGATGCCAAGTTTGAACCTAATGGAGGTCAAGAGGTGGGAAACTGCAACCCAGCTACGTGTTTTCCTCTTTCTCTAACACCAAACGTCGAGGGTGTCCATTCAAAAAGTGGCTCCACTGTTCCCCTCAGTGAGCAGTGGTGCAGGTTAAAGGTCGGTCGCCCAGTTGGGATTTACATAGGCCTCTCTGGGGTGCATCAGCACAGCTAGTGTATACATCGCTCAGGGATTTGTGTTGTATCTTCTAGTTAATAAAACACCGGGAGATATGAACATCCGTCTCCCCTGTCTTCAGCTCGGCTCTGTATGTAGGTCACATGGGCTTCTGCAGGTATATGAGCAGTGGCGCACAAGTGGTGGAGAGAGGCATGTCTCACCTCTGAAGGACATTCGCAGCATTATTATTGCCCTCTACGACTTCCACGCTGAGCCTCGCCTTCATATGCATCATACATTGGCATTTATTAGTGCCATGCACTAAGTACAGGCCATGTTATTGAATTTGAATATCAGCTCCAAGCC